ACAGGTGAGGGGACCGCGGGGCTGAGGTCGCGCGTCCTCTCCTGGCCCCGGCGACACCCCTCTGAGGGACCAGTGAGAGCCGGCGCGCTGCCCTGCTCCCTCCAGGCCGGAGTTGTCTCGGGTTCTCCGTCCCCGCCCCGCTCTAGCGGGCAGCGGCTTCCGAACTTCTGGGGTGTAAAGGGCTCCCCCACCTCCCCTAGTCCTGCAGGAAAGGACAGGATCTGCAGACGCGGACCCGATTTCATTCCCTGGACAAGCAAATGAGACATCCGGTCCTGGCAGGGCCCTGCCTACTAGCAAAGATCTGTGTCCACCTGGGCCCCTGTGATGTGAGGCAAACTGACCTCTCCATCCCCTCAGAGCGGGCTGAAATAAATCTGTCCTTTCCTTTTCACCAGAACTCTCGGCCTCCTTTGATTTGGCCTGCAGAGAGCTGACCGCCCTGCGCCTGTGAAAGCCCTGCATCCTGAAAGGCTCTTGAGCTGGCTGCTCCTAGCTAGCCAAACCCATGGCCAGGACTCCAGTGACATTCCAGCAGCTGCTGGGGACACTTTGCACACAAACACACACACACACACACACACACACACACCCGCCCCTGACATCCGCTGCCTATAAATGCTTTTGCTGGCAGAGGGAAAAGGTGGTTTGGGGAGCTGTTGAACTTGCCCTGGCTTCCTGCCTGGAAGGAGGTGCACCATCTGGGTCCCCACCGTCTGGGACATCTCGGAGGTCAAAAAACACGTTCCCAGCATTTATTTTGATTTGAAGTACTCATTTGTTGTTTTATTTTCTTTTGGCGCTTTAGAGGCAGGCCCTTGCAAGGCAGGCACTGTGCCATTGAGCTAAATCCCCAACCCTGGAATAATCATTTGTTTTGGTCTGCTTCGGTTTGCTTTTGTTTCTCTTATCTTTTCTCCTAATACCTTTATCCTAGGATGTCCGGCAGGGTTTCAGTACCACGTACACTTATGTTGGCCATTTGGCGCTGCAAGCTGCTCGGGGCTCCTTTGTGAGCCCCAGGGTTCAAGGTTCTCCAGCCACTTGTTGAGATTAGCTTGAGAGTTTCCGAGGACAGAGTCACCGCTGGTTTGAGGAGCTCTGTTGTGAACTGCGCAGGAATAAAAGTGCATGTGCTACTTCACAAGTCCCTAGAAAAGTGCTGGTTACTGTGGCTTGGGAAAGGGTGGCTTTCTTGTACCACAGTAGGCCTTGCGCAGGGCTGAGAGTGCGCTCTGATTTCACGGGGTGCCCTGAAGGAGGCCCTTACTCCTCCGGAGTAAGTTGGTCAGGAGGACACAACTGCTTTCCCTGCCCTTTCCTGGGTTACTGACACTCACAGGCCACCGCTGCTGCCACGCAGCTACTGGCTGATGTTGCTGAGTTCATCGGGGTTTAAATTTCCCCTCGTTTTGCCTAACAGTCCTCAGCTCATTGTAGACCAGTTATGTTTCTAAATATTTTCCAAAACTTCAGCTGGCTGGAAACTGATTTTTGTTTCCTTCGCTTCACTCCTTTAACTAGAAAAATGGAGAAATCTGACTCGGGGCTTTCCTGGGTGGGGAGTATTGTCCTTAAACTGGTTTCTTTTTTTTTTCCACACTAGGGGCCCTGAGCAACAGAGCCCCAGGATAAGAAGTGTAAACTTCTCAGGGCTGGGAATTTAGCTCAGTGGGGCAGCCACCTACCTCAAAAGCACAAGGTCCTGAGTTCGATCCCTGGTACCAAAAAAAAAAAAAAGATGTGTAAACTTCTGACCAGCTGTGTCTAAATTTTAACACAATGACAAATGTCTTAGAAACCTGGGACAAGAGCTTCTAAATCAGTGAAGATCTATAAGAATGCATAAAAAAAATTCTTCAGGAAATTCAATCTCAGATTAACTGGGCCAGCAATCTCCTTCAAGACATATTTCTCCCATGGCTACAACCAGGAATCCTACCTTTAGACATGCAAATTTAGGGTTAAGTATTGCAGGGGGCGGTAAAAACAAGCATCATGCCAGTAGTGTAACTTTTTAAAAGCTTGAAAATGATAAATTCAAGTCTATTTTATGTGTGTTGGTGAGCATGTATGTATTAAATATAACATCTGTGTGTGTACATGTGTTTGCCTATTGTTTAGATGGTACCAGATGAATTTAAAAATGAGAGCTCTCAATAATAAAGAAAGCTTCACTGGACATAATGGCACACACCTGTCCTCAGGAGGCTGAGGCAGGAGGATCGCCTTGAGTTCGAGGCTAGCTTGGGCTACAGAGTGAGCTCAAGGCCAGGCTGAACTACATAGCAGGACCCTGTCTCAAAAGAACAAACAAACAAAAAACAAGAAATTAAGAAAGCATAAGCTTAGTGAGCTCAAGGCCAGGCTGAACTACATAGCAGGACCCTGTCTCAAAAGAACAAACAAACAAACAAAAAACAAGAAATTAAGAAAGCATAAGCCTGTTTTGTTCATATAATTTAAGAAAACATTTTAAATGCTATAACAAAACTATGAGCATGAATTTTGCCTGTCTTAGCCAATCAGGATTACATTTTAGGTGTTTGACTTTTAGAAGCATATTTTCAGTTTTACAAAGGTTTATTAAAAGTTCAGGCTGACCTCAAACTCATGGCAATCCTCCTGCCTCAGCCTCCCGAGTGCTGGGATCACAGGCAAGAATGTGTTAAGACCTTAACGACTCCTGGAAATCAGAGTTGGTTGAACCCTGAGATGATGTGACTCATATCAATATAACACTGGCTGAGCATTCTTTTACTTAGTAGTTTAAATTGTTTAGCTTTTCAGAATGTTACGTATGAAGGCTGCTTCTAGTATTAGTAGGAGGGATCCTAAGAAGCAGTATTTTGCTAGCCATTGCTTTAAAAGTTATGGTTCATAGCAAAGATGTATTTTAAATTCCTGACTGTATAAGGAGGGGAAACTCTTACTCTTTACCTGAGTAACAGGGAGAGGTGCAGGTCTCCCTGTTTCCCATCCCTGTGACGTGTCTACGAGATGGCTGCATCGGTTTCAGGATTGGTTTATTCCAGAATGTTCTCAGGGCTGCTTTCTTAAACTAGAGTGGCTTCCAGTGACTGATAGCTTCTACTTGGTTACTCTACTTGGCAGAAGTTGGCTTAGGTAACAGACATCTCTGTGGTTTATTATGGGAGAGAAGTGGAGCAACTAGACATAATCTAGGGGCCGTCCACGCACTCACAGGAGGGGCTTTTTTCTCAGAAGTGGTAGATCTCAGGAGTGTGGGTTCAGGGTGTGCTCAACTGTTAGTCCACTGACTGGTTTAGACTCTTCTGGCTGTGGATAAGGGGAGCCCCACCCTAGATGTGGGTGGCACCACCCAAAAGACTTGTAGCCTCGATGGGATAAAAGGGAAAGGGAGGCTTGTTGCTGTAGCTTCACGGCTCTCTGCTGCTCCCTGTCTGCTCTGCCATGGACTGTTTCTCCTCTCTGGTGCCCCTCTGCCGAGCTACCCTGCACTGGAGCCAGGTGACTATGTACTGAATAAACCTTTCTGCCTTCAGCTTTGGATGTTGGGTATTTTGTCTCAACAATGAGAAAAGTAACCAAGACAATGCCTGAGACTGGTAAAACTCCTTCTGTAGGCCTTCAAGCGGATGCGTTTTGGGGGCACCCTTCTTACCTGGGAAAGTTTGCTTTGGAGATATGAGATTTTGGTTAAAAAATAATTTCTGGGGTCAGTTATAAATAGTCAAGTTCCATAGCCCCCCAAAATCCTTCAAGGATTTTTAAATAATATTCTGTTGCAGTGCATAGACACAATTTCCAAGTATTGACTACAACTTTCGAGAGAGATTTTCCTGAACTAAAAATAAAAATTGTCTTTGGAAATGAACTTGTGTTTGTTAGATATTTTATTTTGTAGACAATGTAGAGGTGATTGTTAAAATACATAAATATGTAAGCAAACTTCTCAGCTATTTGTTATTAAGTGAAAATGCTGAAGACATTTGTTCAGCGTATTCTTTGCTTCTTAATATGTACAAATGATGTGGGTCTATTTAATATATTTCATAGATTATTATATATGTGTAACACTGACTAAGATCAAAAGATATCTGGTCCTTTAGTAAGCATCACAGAAACAATTCTAGAGTGACAATGAATATCTAAAAATGAAGATTTTTGTCAAATTATAGAACAAGTTTAAAAATGAGCTTTAAATAATAATTCTCAAAGTGGCTGGGGTTGTTATCTGTTCATCAATTTACAATAGGCTAAAGCTAATAATCCATATAAGCACAACTCATTTAATACTGTAATAACAGTTGGTTTTAAGAGGAAAATCTTGTTAGATGGGGTAGCTATGACTTACCCCTGGCCTGTTGGTAGGCTTGTTTATGTGGCCTAATGCTAATAATTTTAAGAGATGCTAAAATGCTTGCTTGCTTCTCTGTACTAGATAAACTGCTATTATTTTACTGTCTAGTCTTTGCTTAAATTACTTCAATTGCGTTCTTCAAACTCTTGTTTTTACGAAAAGCCTTCCAAGATTCAGAAAGAGAGTTCCGGCTCTTCCCATCTCAAGTATGTTATATGTTTTTTCTAGACATCCAGTGTTTACATCTATGACACAGTTTGAGACACAAGTGTGAGTCAACAATTTCAGTTTCAAAACTATTAATAATGTATGTGTGGGATAACATAATTTTGTAATAATGTAAAGGTGGGTAATGTTTTTATTGTAAATTGGTCATATATGTTAACAGTATTAACTTTTGAGTAAAACATTTCTAATCAGAGACAGTTTGTTCTGAGAAAAATATTTCATAAAGAATTAAAAATGTGATACAGAAATATAAGTATCTTTGTTTAATTTGTTTGTTTTTTCTGGGTACTGGGCATCAAACTTGGGTCCTTGCGCTTGCAAAGCAGCTGCTGGAACCACTGAGCTAAATCCCCAGCCCCTTAAGTATCTTTGTTTAAAACAGTAAAGTTTAAGATACTGATTTGTTCTTAGTGAAATTTACAACAAAACTTTAAAAGGTGTTTTAAATCCGTCAAAATAATTTGTCTTTACTGTTTTGTTAGAAATAAATGTGTAGGACAAATAAGTCTTAGGAGATTCATTTACATATATAACTATTTAAAGTTTTGTTTTACAATTCTGGTTACATAAACTATTATTATGTGCTTTTCCTTGTTTTTAAAAATGTGATTGTCCTGGTATAATGTAGTCTGTTGTGCTTGTCTTAATATGATATACAAGTTACTAAATTGTTTTGCTAAAGTGTGACCTTGTATA